AACCTGTGACTTTCATATGATGTATTCCCCAAATATAGTACGCGGTCCCTCACACAATACCTATGGGTACTATTCAATTTTAAAAACGAAGTTCTTGAATAAGACCCCGGGTACTGTATGCAGTGGTCAACGGCATTTATGTCAAATCCTATATAGTACAAGCTATTACTTGACAAATAATAATTGGCTTACTACCTCAGATTTTGATCTATCGATTGACCTACTGGTTGACCCATCGGCTAACCCGCTAACATTCCCTGGATAACCGACCCAACCGGGTCGGAACACTACTCAGAAAATTAGTGAATAATTAGTAAGAATGAATTTGGAAGCAAGTTTTCAAGAAAATTGCCTTTTTTAACTTACTTTCAACTTACGCTTAAATATGTAGACATAATAATATTAAAAAATTTTATTTAAAAATTCAAATTAAAGACAGTTTTATAGAGTTCGCTTTGTAAAAAATTTCGAACATTCTGTTAATCATGTTTGGCTAATTTTTATTCAAATTAAATTGGCCGATATGTTGCAAATAAACGATTTTTTGCTGTTCGGAAGGGTGTAAATAATTCTAAAAAAACTTTCACTTTTATGTCCAGTGACTGATATTAGTTGGGTGTTCTGAGTTGTATAAATGAAGTATTACAGTCTGAATTGGAATTTGGTAATTGATTTTCTGTAAAAAGCTCGGTTACTATATTTACTCACTGTGAACCGACACGATGTTATTATTACAGAAAACAACTAAATAATAATTATTGTCGCGGCTGATGCTAGAATTAAGGACCTCGATTTAAAAATATAAACCCTACCAAAATCCGTTTATACTTTTTTATTGTCAAAACTAACCCTAAAAGAAAATACACCCCAAAAATTTTTGAAAATTTTATATTAAAATAATTAAAATTTCCAGCTTCAGCTGCGACAATTATTATAATGAAACAATATTTTCTCACAAAATATTCAATTTGATTGCTTCAGCATTTCGACCTTAGTACATTCAACATTGACTTTTTTTTTATATAATTAATTGAAGGATTTCTAATTAATAAATTTGGTTGATATAGAAGATAATTTCAAACCTCAACATTTCTTGTCTTCATACGTCATGTCTATAATATTTTCTACATTTTTTTTCATAAAAAATAATTGCGACTCTTGTTCAAATATGAAAAGTCTCTATTTTGTAATTTTCGATATAAGAAAAAAAATGCGAAAGAAAAAATATATACGACTATAAGTATTAAAAAATAAAGTAAAGAAATCTCTATTTTCATTATGGTAATTTGCTATTTCCACCCAAACTAGCTATTCTAGAAAGTTATATTTATTTGTCACATAATGAACTCTCTTTACTATAATTATTTCAATGTAAAAAATATTGATCAATAATTTATTTATATGTAATAAAGAAATATTAAAATTTATAATAACATCAATTAAAACTATCTTAAAGAACTTAATTTTGAGTAAACACTGAATTTAAATAATGAATGAAAATTTGATTACATAAAATTTAAGAAATTCAGTAAAACTAAACTTAACTTTCAACTCTTTAACATTGTTACCTGTTGCAGTAACAATTTTTAATGGATTATATATTCACCAACTCAACGTTATAATATTTATAGGCTGATGTCATCAATGAAAGTAGCCCACACATCGCCAGCTTTCTTCCGGAACAGATTCATGGACTTGCACCAAAGATTATCAAAGAACGTTTATTTTCTAATTTTTATCATCTTGATAAACATCATAAAACCTATCCGGATCGAAAACTTCAGACTTCAGGGTGGTCTTGTACCCTACAATATTTAAATGAAACGCAGTACCAGAAGCCCATTTATATCCTGCAACTTCATGTTCTTCAGTAATGTAGCGAGTTAAAAAATTTAACACTGGCATCACACGACTGGTTTCTTCGATTACGGCTTCACAATATTTCAACTTTGAAAGATCATTATCATTACTTGACAGATAGGATTTATTGGAAGATTTAGAAACGACAGAGTCAATTTCTGAAATTACTTTTTGCTTTACATTTGGATATTTGCAGAGATAATAGGTTATATAGCAAAATGTGTTAGCAGTCTAAATTTAGATAAATATATAGTAATAAATAAGAAAATAATAGGTAAAATTAAATTATAAGTAACTTGATAAGAATGCATCTACCAAATTATATCTGATGTCTTCATCAGTCATAGGCTCAAACGTTTCACCACCTACTGTTATTGCATTAAAAGTAACCTTTTCAGTGTTTGCAATGATTAAGGGTTAGCATATCGGTTCTCACTTTTGTATTCATTGGCATTTCCTCAATCTCTTTTCTTCTTTTTTTGATCATGAGATCTAATCTTTCGAAAATATAATCGCGACTTTTTAAGTAAGAATTTGCTATATTACTGATTATTGGGACGTAATGTCTAAAGAATAGTCCAACCATCATGAAGAGTATAAACTTTAAACATGCTTTAATAATGCTTTGACGAATTTACTCCCATCTTCAACTAGTGCCTCAGGATGTTCAGACTTGATAGTACTTTGCATGTTATAGAAGGAAGCCATCGAATAAGTACGTTCACCGGTGACTATGACTGAGATAATTTCATTGCAAATGCATGAAACCACTGAGAAAAATCTGTTTCTAGAGTCTAATTATCGTTATTATCATTTGAGGCATTTTGGTTTCCAAGGGACTGCCAGTATCTGCTCATTTCTTCAAACAATTCATTTGTAGACTTTACAGCCGTATCCATAAAACTAGGTACCATTAATGCTTGAGAAAAGAACTGTCTATTATACCTCCAACTTTTATATTCATTATTACCGCCGACACCACGTCCATAAAGTCCAATTTCATCTGGACCTTGAGAACATGGAAACCTTGTTAAATGTTTCGAAGACATAATATTCTGGTTGTGAAAGAATGATACATCTCTGTCCATCAAACATTATTTCACAAATATCTCAATATTCTAAACGACATTTATTATAAAATAGGTTTAAAACACAAAAGGCAATGTTATGAAGGTTTCCAATGAATGGTAAAGGCAATGGGCCAGGGAATGAATTAGGGCGAGTCAAATATTTATAACATAAGTAACGAAAATAAGGACGAAAAAAAGAAAATAATCTCTAATACTAAGAGATTCAATAATTTCCTGAATAGCCATATTTGAATTATATGAGTTCAACCATACCCGACTTAATATTTTGTCGAAAATCAAAACCGAAATTTTTTTTTTTTTTGGAGACAAATGTATATCTTGTACCCAATTTGATAGGAACAAGTTTTATAGGTACCAATTTTGGGAGCCTAAATAATCGGGAACATTTTTCACTTAAGGAATAAATGCTGTTAAATTAATAAAATTTTGCAGTATAGTCTTTTAAAATTTGCATTTACTTATGTCTTAATATAAATTTTATAATATAACAATCAGATTTCCGCAAAACTTACTTTAGGTCTGTTTATTTGCTTTTTTCAGTGAACCGTTACGATCGTTACAATATTACATTAACCATGGAATTCGATTACATCTTTACATAAATGGAAGCATTGCGTAGTAAAGAGATTATATCAATGATAGATATTAACAACAACTATACACCTACTTCTAATCAGCCCACTACTTCACAAACCTACTCACTCATCTTTGCAAAAATTAACTCAAATAGACTCTTTCATAATGAACCAATCTACAAAAATCTTAAACACAGTAAACTGTTTGTTGACCCATTTTTCCATATATGTGGTGTTACGAAAATTTTTGTGCTTAAATTTTCTTTGTTATATTTTCTACATTGTATTATTGCTATTGTTATGTAACGGCTGTGTATATGTTAGAACCACAGATATTGTTTCGAGACCATAGATATTGGTTTAGGACTATGAATTTTGGCTTAAGACCATGGATCTTGGTTTGAGACCACAAATCTTGGTTTCAGACTATGATATTTTGTAATGTATAAATATGACAACTAAACTAATAGAGAATAGGAGAAGAAATTCTACTTGAGTCATAATGAAGTAATAAATAACGTCCATATGAATCGTACACCAACTAAATGCATTCCTTAATAACCCTAAAGGTGCGATCCGTAAACTATTGTTAATATAAATAAACTGTAGTTTATTGTAAAATTTAGTTTAAAATAAACTGTAGTTTATTGTAAAATTTAATTTAAAATAAACTGTAGTTTATTGTAAACTTTAGTTTAAAATAAACTAGTTTATTTATATGTACTGTAATTCACAGTTCACATCTCTATAATAACCCGCTATCATTAAATCCGAATCCTTTATAAACATTCATCTTGCATAACCTATGCTTGTAACCCTGAGCTAATTTGACCTCAACGTTAGCCAAGTCTCTCCCATGGGGTCTCTTAAAGCGGGCAGATTACGTAATAATTAACCAATCAAATCGTAAAATTTGAAAAAAAACTGTAGTCTAAAAAATGTCGGGAGGTAACAAACTCTTCTAACCCTAACTCTTGGTGGCACTAACCCTAATATTAATGAAAAATGCCACATCATTAAAAAGTTTACTAATAAAAAGTCGTACAAATGATACCAAATTTTTACTGTAAATGTATTTTAGTGCGTTGAACAAAATTTTCTTATAAAGCAATGTGATTTTTTTAAGATTATTTAAAAAAATTAGAGGGTGGCTTATTTTCGGCCATATACAATCATGTGCGCTAAACGAACAGAATTCATACTATTATTCACAAATAGCTAGATTTGCTTATTAGTTTATACTTTATTTTTAAAAAATAAAAATACATATATTTATATATCCTTATATTTAAAGCACATCTATGGTGTTTACACCTATATATACATTAATATGTACATTATCTCAAATACCGATTAATTAATTGCAGTGCTCTAAGTAAAAACATTCTCACTACCAAAATCCCTTTCAAACCTTAAAATAATAATAATAGGTGCAAAATCATCATAGATACATTTTATATGTGTGTGCCAAAAATTATGGAAAATTGTGTCCATCGGTAAATACATTCGCCGGATTATCGTCATTTCGTCTTCTTGATCGTTCAGAGATGTAATGTTTTATCTTGGCAGTAAGGCCAATAGTAAAATCGCAACCATCGAGAATCATACTTTCTATTTTGTAATCATCCCGTCTCTTATGGGAATTTAGTTCTGTAGTTAGGTTTATGAAGGAAGTTTGCTCCTCAGGAGAGAGATCTCTTGAAATATGCTCGATAACATCTTCGTTATCGGGTTGATTAAGATCCATTTGGGTACAAATTTGCGTGATAACTAGTTTTATAACATTTTTAACCGTTAGGTTGTCCATTTTAATGATGAAGTTGTAGATTTTCTCCTTGAACAAGCTTTGGCTATTGAATGTGCTGTGGGAAAATCAAGCGCCTTTTATTAAAAAAAAATTATATGTCACAGCTGACTGATACTGACGGGTTACTATTTGAATACATTTTATTAACTCCGCTTAATCCCTAGTTTTATAAATTAAAAATCGCTTAATAAATATGAAAACTGATATTGTAAGATTTGCACAATAAGTACACACCCTATTATGTAATGTGTAAAGTGCGAAAAATCTGTCTTGTATTATGTTTACATGGTTAATTACATAATTGAATGGTAAATATAATAAAATGAAATGGTCTTTAAAGTAATGGCGTTGTGAAAACGGAGAAAACTTTATTAACGAGAATAATTTGAATGAAGATTTTATTGAAAACTAATATTGAAAAAAGAGTAAAGGTTGTGGTACTTATTTACTGAATAAGTGGTTGATTCAAGAAAATATATATAGTAAATCTCCGATATTAATTAACTAATAATGGTTAAAATATTATCTACAATGAACAATGAAAATTTTGGATTCTAAAAAAATCTGATTGAGATCAAACGCAGTATAGCCCCATAAATCAGCTGATTAATAACCATTTTATTAAAACTGATATTTTAATAACTATAGGTCATCTACCATATAAACCAAGAAAGATTTGTGAATACTTTTGATAATATTGAAGTCGTGAACATTTTCCTAATTATAATCGACACTCAAATCCTTTACTAAAAGATAATGCAAGAGTAAATTATCGCTAATCAGTCAGTGCTGTACAAAGCACAATTCAAATAAAATATGTGGAGTATTACGCAAGGAAAATTATGACAATCGGCAATAACAATCAATTATCAAAATATTGGCCAGTTATAAACAAAGATTTTTTCAGATAAAAAGTTTTGGTTAAGTTCAGTTAAGTTCAAAGTGTGTATGAAAACCAGATTGCCCGAATCGAATTTCATTCTGTCAATACAAACTTATGCTATTTTGCCACCATATAAGGACATCAAGGTCTATTTTCTTTTTTTTCATAAGTATACATCAAGGTATAAAAACTATTAAAGCTATAAAAGATTTTTTGCAATTCAAATAATAATAATCATAATGATCACAAGAGTCTAGATTGCGTATATCAACGCCACATCTCAAATATAGCAAAAATCTTAAAGACTTTTCTAAACTGAAGAATGGTTTTAAGGTATATTAAATACGATGACAACAATATTAACGATATGAAACGCCATCCTTATTAGTTTATACATCACATGAACCTTTTACATGCATATTTATTGTGAGTATATGATATAAGCTTTTTATTTTGTCTTTTATGTCGTTCCACATGAATTATTCCGTTTTTCCACTGAATAGTATTAAATATTGTAACATTTTATCTCGCACTATTCCAGGGTCTTGTATACGATAATTTACGGTACTCTCTTTAAATACACTCTCTATAAGTTATACATATGATAAATTCCAGGATGGTCATATATAGAAGCTTGACTATATCATAAAATTAAAGTCATGTTAACAAGGTTGGTATTACATATGAGGAAAATGTCACACTGTAATTCTCCGATTAATTAATAACGTCATGTCCCTAATTTATAATTTATCGTTATACCCTAAAACTTTTTACAAATTATGAATTAGAGTATGGCGTAATTAATCGATTTAGAGAATTCCAGAATTTTTATAATATCATTTTCTAGACCAGTCCTCATATATAGTTTGCGGCAAAATCAATGATTTCAGCATTACCGCAATGTTTAAATTTTTTGACTGAACAAATTTACGCATTTTATGTAAATGATTTGGTGCACAAAACCTTATTGTAAAATGCCGGAAATTGTGTACTATACCGATGCACAAATGGTTTCTGTCGATTAGTATCACTACATGACTTTAGTGCATGGCCAAAAATTGGGGACGTCAAATCCATATATATACTTTCATATATAGATAGACCAATCAAAAGTGAAGCTCGGAAAAATGACAATTTAAAAAATCCCGCTTTTTTTTTTTGATGCACTATTACCGTATAAGTACTTTTATTGGTCTAATTGTTCATATAAAAAGTTATCAAACTTTATTACATTCCTAATCGTTAATCGTAGCTATATACGTATTAAAGTCAAAGTCTTACTAAGTCAATTAATATTTATAAATTGAAAAATGTAAAGCGCGGAAGCGAATTAATAAAAGTTCTTCAGTTTACATGAAAATTTCAGAACATATGCAATTTATTATATAAATATTAATTAACTTAGTATAAATTTTGGCTTTAATATATAGCTACAATTATCTATTATATTTTAATTTGGCGGTAAATTCTGATTTGCTAAAGGCAATAGAATATCAATTAACATATAAAAGATTTTATTAAAGAAATACATGAGCTTGAACAAGTTTATAATGAATATAAATGGTACAGGGTGTTGGATTTCAGGTGGGCTAGCTATGGTTATAGCAGACTTGTCTCAGGGTAACGATATTGCTGGTGTATTACGTCATAATGCTAATTTTGGATGTCATAGTTGTAAAGCTCCTAAAAATGAATTAACAAATATTTTATTTGATATATATTCTAATGGTTGATATCAACAAATAACAAATCAAGAAAGAATAATTATAAATAAGCAAAATACAAATTTAGCAAGAAAGCAAATTTGTTCACAATATGGATTATGATCACTACCAGGTCCACTTAATTCTATTTTTTATAATTGTCATCAGTATATTCTACAAGATGCATATTATGCAATTGCAAGAAAAGTAGCATGGCTATTAGATTGCGCTTTACTTGTCTTATTTTAACTGCTCAGAAAGAAAATAAATTAATTAAATACTGGAAGTATTTTGAATTTTTAATTAAATGGTTATGTTTGTCAAATTTTATTTTACACAGATACTCATTTATGATGTCAGACATTTTGCATCTTTTAATGATATTTCCTTTTATATTAAAGCATTGTATAAAGATTAACGATATTAAAAATATATTTTAGATGAAATTAAAGCTAGATTAAAGTTTTCTTGCCTAAATAATGTTGTGAATTATCTTATTTGGACTTGGGAAATATCTGCAAAAGTTAGCAAAAAGGTTTTTTTATTAACTATTAATAAATCTAATGGATATTCTCAACTTCAAGATGTATTAACAAAGAACTTACTGCATTAATTAAGATATTATTATTATTATTATTTATTATTTAGTTATTTATTTTTAATTATTTATTTATTATAATAATATATACAATTTATTTTTTAAGTTATTTCCAGATAATTTTCAAAATCTTCTAAATCTTCATATAAATCAATATTTGGTAGATAATACATGTCAATATGCTACATGCATTAATACTTTTGTTGGTACAAAAGAAATTGTACACAAAATTTTTAAATCAATAATACTATATATAAATAAACATAATTTTGAGCTTATATTGCTTTAGAAAATAAATACTTTGCAAACATTAAGATATTTAATTAATAAAGGAATAAATGATCATTTATATGAAATTACACCACAATCAATATTTAAAAATTTAATTATTGAGCCATGATTACGTGATTTATTATTAGGTTGGTGTATTGATAATAATAATTTTTTAATATATACATCACAAGAATTTGATCAAGATAAAATAATACAAGTTAATTATATTATATAATAAACAATATATCTTTGACAATTTATTAATTTACAAATTAACTTACTAATTGTAGATAATCTAACGATATTAGTAGTTTTTCACATTTTAACTATACTAAAATTAAACTTGAATCTAAATGGAATAGATATAAAATTGAAGATGCTAGATTTATTTCTAATAATCTTAAAACTAATAGACTTTTAGAAAGCAGAATACGAGCATATTCTTTATACTTTTTAATAGAACAAGCAATATTAAATACAAATATTAAATATTATCAAAGTGTTTTATATTCAATAATAGAGCCTAATAGTGATTATCAATATATAAAATTTAGTATTGATAAAGCAATTGAAATTATTTTGTCTAATAATAAACAATCTGGATTTGGAATTGTTAAAGAAATAATTTCACATATATAGAATGATAATCAAGTTTATCTATTTATTTATTTAAAATGGTTAGAAGATTTTAATAAATTTGATAATTTATTAGAATATTCAATATATCATCTTCAGCATATTTGCAACAATTCTTGAAATCAAATTTATCCAATTTCAATTGTATCAAAATTGCTAAATATTCTATTTACTCATAATTGTAAATCAAGATACACTTTATAACAACATGATTTTTCAAATTATGAATATATTAAAAATGATTTTTATTTTATAGCTATTTAAAAATTTTTATATAAATTTGTTTTTTAATATATTAAAATCTGTAATTAATAAAATTTGAATTTGTTAGTATAATTTCATATTAATTGAAAGTTATATCAATATTAGATAAAAATACTTAAATGAGTATGTTTGTATAATTGCAAAGATTAGAACTTCAGAAATAAGTATCAAAGTAAATCTTAAATAGTATAATTGTATTGAATAATTATAGAAAAGATCTTATAAGACTTTGTAATCTAAAATATTATAATTGAAAAAGTAGAAAATATTGTGTTTAGAAGTTATAAAGTAGTGATGATGATAAATACATTTTAGTAAGCTTAATCTATATATGATATATATACAAATAAAATTTTTATTATTATTATACAAAGTAATTATTTATTATATAATATACAAATATAAAATAACACTCATCTATTAGAGTATTCTATAGCATATTTAATCAAACTTATATAAGATATATTAGTTACTTTAATATCATTGCAGAAACTCTTAAATTTTTAAAATATAGCTACAAGATTGTAATGTGATTGTTGCAATATCTTCACAATATAATTAATAAGTCTCGTAAGTTTCTGATAACGATATCAATTTTATCTCATTACAATATCATTACAATATAAAATAATTTGTTATCTCGACTGTTTTCGTAAATAATACATTGTAAATATATTATAAATTCATTTAAGTAATTTGATATACTTTAAAAATACTATCAAATATTACTAAATGTATTCTAAATATAATACGATAAATTAGCATTTATACTACAAATGTAATTTTAATAAAAACGGTCAAATTTTTAGCAGTAACATGATTGTATTTTCAATTTATTGCAAATATAATGATTCTAAATTTCTAATGTAATTGCTAAATCTAAAATGAAATTACATAAAAAATATTATGCAAATATCTAAGAGTAAATCAAAAAAATTACTTTAAGAATGTTGCAAACTAAGTATGCTAAGATTTTAATTCGGTAATACAACAAGATTTGCCGATGTAGCTTAAGATTCTAATTTAATATATATATTACTTTAACATTTGTTAATAACAATAATAATAATAATTACACTTACCAGAACTGCTAGAACCACTAGCACTGCTAGACATACGAATTGCATCTCTACGGACAGCCCAAGGAGGTAGTTTATTTATTTTGAATTTAGGTATTTTGGTGGCTAGGCTAGAATAACGTTTATCCGCTTGATCAATATGAATACGTTCATCAGGTTGAACCTAACTACTACTTCTTTCGCCAGATTCATCAACTCTTATAGCGTGATCAATTTGTTCAATAATACGAATTGCCTGAAATTTTCAAAATAAATAATATAAGTAAAATCAACTAGTTTTTAATAGGCAAGAGTTTTTTTTTATACATGATACTTAGGACCCTAAATAAGTTACACTGTATATAAAATAGTAAGTGATGATTGGTAATTTCAACATAACCAACTACAATTCGAACACTACATGGTACAAATATATAAAAGAATAACAGTGCAGATTACCTCTTCAGATCTAAAAGCCATTTCGGGAACATACAACTTTTTCTTCCATGCTTTTTAGGCGATGCTTCATCTTCACTTATTTCAAGAGAAGTACAATCGATTTGAAGAATTTTGAGAACATCCTTGAAAGGATATGAAAAAGTAAGCTCCAATGCCTTTTTAGTTTGAGCAACTGATTTCTAAAATTAAATTATTAATAATAATGTAGTATTACTAGATAAATACATAACATTGTTTGTCTGGAACTCAATTTTAATTTTTGCAAATCATATTATTTTTCTATAATTTTATTAATAAAATTTGAAAAATATTAAAGTTCTCAAAATTTTACTAATTAATTATATTTGTGAATTCTAAATAAACTTGTTCTACATGTAAAAATATATTATATTAATATTGTTTACTTTATAATTTTAAATTTTTTTAAAAAAATATCCAATTTTATAATTTTTGATTAAAAATTCAAAATTAAGTATATTTTTTTTAAAATTTAAAATTATAAAGTAAATATATGCTAGTATAATGTATTTCTGTGTATAGAACAATTTTACTTAGAACATAAAGATATAATTAATTAAAATTTTGAAGATTTTAATATTTTTCATAATTTTATTAATAAAATTATAGAATAGTATGATATTTAACATTTTAATAATTAATTATATCTTTATGCTCTAAGTAAACTTGTTCTATACATAAAAATACATAATATTAATATATATTTACATTATAATTTTAAATTTTAAGAGAAAAGATGCTTAATTTTAAAATTTTGATCAAAAATTCAAAATTAAGCATCTTTCTCTTAAAATTTAAAATTATAAGGTAAACATATACTGATATGGTGTATTTTTATGCATAGAACAAGTTTATTTAGAGCATAAATATAGATTTAATTAGCATAATTTTGTGGTTTTAATATTTCCCATAATTTTATTAATAAAATTATAGAAAATAGTAAGATCCTCAATATTTTACTAATTAATTATA